AAAAACTATTTCTGTTTGAATTGGATTTAAAGAAAATTTTGGAACTAATGTCAACATTAAACAATTAGATTCTGTTTTAGGGTTATATTCAAGAAATGCCCTAATAAATAAATAAAAATAAAAATATTTCTTAAAATTTATAATAATAACAATAAATACCCATATAAACAAACAATTAATTAAATAATTACCTTGGCTTATCAAGATCCTCACTCTTGACAACTAAAATAAAATCTTTCTCTAAATAAGTAATTTGTTCAGCCAAAGTAACATTAGAAGTTTTGGGATTGCCATTAACATTTAATTCAGTAGAGATCAAATGAGAAGGAGACTCAATTGATTGGATGGTTGAGGTCATTCTACAATTGATTTTTAAATCCAATTGATAATTTGCTTCCCCAGAATATTTTACATCATCAGGTACAAGTTTTTTATCATAATTAGCTGTTGAAGAAGAAGATCCATATCTTTCTGCAATAGAAGTTGGTAAAACAAATCATATTTTTTCATTCTCTGAGTCATGTTTAAGTTCAGTAACATAGGTGATTTTGATGACTACTGTCTGATCACTTTTTAGATTTCCAATTGAACATTGGAATACATCTGATAATTGTTCTTCAAGTAAATAAGCACTATATCCTTGCTATAATAATAATAATAATAATAATAATAATAATAATAATAATAATAATAATAATTGTCATTAATTGGATTATTAACTAATTCACATATAGATTATAGATTATTTACCTCAATAGCTTTACTGTAATCAGAAGCAGCTTGTTTTGCTTCTTTCACAACACCTTTAACTTTATATTTGCCATCAATTTCTGCTTCAAAATCACAAATTGCTGCGGCTTCATAAATTGGAAATTTATATAATGCTTCAATGTACTTATCTTCTACATTTTTATATGTTTGATGAATTACAACTAAATAATAAAAAATAATTAATAAGAAATGATAATAAATGTCATAATTAAACATGGTAATATTTGTTTGCTTATTAGTTACCTTC